AATGCATGAAAATCCTAACCTCAAAAAAATCACCCGTTATATTAAATTAATTTTAACAAACAAAAAAAAACTAAATGTGTGGACATGATTAGATATGACTATTTGTCTTTTATTTATTTATGGCCTTATTCATAAAAAATAAAGGAGTTTTAAAGAGCTTCATAAAATGACGTTTTCATACATTTTAAAGTTCGTAAAACTTTTTTAAAACGTCTTTATTTTATATGAATAAGGCCATTAATGTTTATTACTTTCGTGTCGAGATTTAAGCTTTCTAAGAACTCACCATATAAAATCCGTAAATTTTTACTACAATGGAATTTGTCAACTTATAAACTTGTATTATTAAAAAATTTAATTTAATCCAGCTCATACGGAATACCTTCATACCCAAAAGTACCGATACCAGTAGGTATCGATACTTTAAATCCGATATTTTTCGTGTATCGATACTTTCTTACGACACTACTTTCAAGTAACGGTATCGTTACCTGCATGTTATCGTTTCATCCCTACTTGCAAGTTTTTGCTAATTTTGAGTTCGCGTACTTTTTTGGATATTTTCAAATTTGAGAGATAATCGTTCGTTGCTCTCCGCAAGTTGCTGAAGGATATTTTACACTGGAGATCAGATTGAAAAGCATCCCCAAAAATTAAATTTTTCTGGGTGTTCCGTCAGTGCGCTGAAAGAAGTGTGCGTGTGAGTTGCGCTAAGCAGGGATTTTGAGCTTGTAGCTGGAGTAGATAGCAAAAAAATTGCTTCATGCAAACGTTGCCTGCGCGAGTTCAGGCTAATATGAATTCCCTTTGGCTTTGGTGTCAATTCTTAATAACTTTAAATACTCTTTCAAATTGCTTTGCGTTCGAGGAACGCAGTTTGAAAAACAATTGCTTCTTGGGTGGAACGGAAGTGTGTATTAAAAAAAGGTATCGGCGCTTACAAATCTACCAAAAATGCTGATAAAATATAAAAAATGACGCATCCTTCTTGATTGAACAAGGCGCGTGTATGTACGGCGGCAACACTGGACTTTGATATTTTTTTTTTTATAAAAAATATGTTTCTTATAGAGGTGGCCGCTCGGCAGACAATGACAGATTAGCAAGTGCATTTCTGTCGTGAAAAATTGTATCCTTTGCCGTTCTCATTTATTTTCTGGCCATTGATTGATTTGAAGATCTAACGACGAAAATCTAGATAAGGGAAGTTAAGAGGGAATTAAAGTGCGGACATTTTCCGCGAAAAATGGGAAAGTGGGACGCTGCAAATCAGCTGTCTTGTCTTGTGGTTCCATGTTGTTTGTATGCATTTTATGTTTTTTTTTGGAGGAATATGACCGTCGTCGGATTTAATATCAGGGCTATCACTGAATCCATCCTAGTCCGATTTTCGTGAAATCTACGAAAATGCGATAACTGAATCCAGTGGCGGACCCAGGTAGGGGAAATTTCCAAAAACGGAGAAATATGAAAATGTTTTCAACATTCGAAAACTTTTAATTTCGTTTGATCAATGCTGTATATTCGACACTTTTACTTAAAAAAAATTTGTTAGAATTCCTACAATTCTCAAAATTTTTGAAAAATAAAAAAATTTCTAGAAATCTAGTATTCATGCGTGCCTGCGTTTCTTTATACATTCCGGATAATCCCATTTCACAGCCGGAATAAGCAGAATGCGCTTGAAATATACGTTAACATATCATCAGGAACGTTCTAAAGAATAAGTAAACAAAAAATTTTATTCCAAACGTTCAGAATGAATAAAGAAATGCAGAAAGAAATTGGGATTTACTAAACTTCACAAAGTTTTGAAGGTTTAGAAAATTTTGGAATTCCACTCAAGTTATTAAAAAGGTGAAACTCAAGAAATTAAAAACTATCAAAACTCTAAAAATTTTAAATTGCGGTGATTTTTAAATTTATATACACGATATATGTTGAAACAATAACGTACGCGACAGATTTTTACCCTATAGAAAATTTTTACTAGTAACGCATACTAAATTAAATTTTTAATTTAATTTTTTCAGTTCTTCTCCTACCCCGGTTCGCGTTTTCAAAACCTTTTTCCGCCATCTGAATACGAAATTTAATGTTATAAAGCCGTTTGAATTCATTTGCTTGCATTTTCGGTTTACATTTTCATGGAAAGACCCAAATGCTACGCGCGTAGCTGTTCCGAGTTCAGTAATAGCATTTTCGTAGCTTTCAGTGATAGCCACCGAATAATAAACCGAAATACTCATTTAGGGGATTCGCGGGACATGTTAAGCGTCGTAAAATCTTAAGCATAACATTATTTTATGTAAAATAACGGTTAAAATTATTTTAACCTAAAAAAACCATTTTAACCTCTAAAACCATTTTAATCGTTATTTTACATAAAAATATGTCAGGCTTAAGATTTTACGACGGTTATAACACGTCTTGTGAATTCCCTAATTATAACAAAGAGTTTCGTAATTCGAACTCAAATAGCAAAAGTATTAAAAAAAAAATTAAAAATAAATTATAATAAAACTATTTTTAAAATGACTTCAGTTACAGTTCTTACCTTTTTGTAAAGTTTAATCCATGTTAAATCACCCTTTGAGTCGGTGTATTGCAGGCCAAAGAACCAGACCTCGCGCAAACCGATCGTTTTGACGACCTGGTCGAAGAGCTGTTTGCCGGTGGTCGTGTGTTGTATGGCAAACTCCAGCTCGGCGTCCATGGTGGTGACGCGTACATTTAGCTGCCGAAAGAAAAATAAAAAACGACCGATTAAATATACATACATATATTTCATAAGTAGATAATCGTGAAATAAACAAAGCAAAAAAACAAAAACAAAATACAAAGTGAAAAGTGAAAAGCCAACACACGACATGAAAACCCCTGCATGTCGAGTAGAGCGATATGCAAAAAACAAAAAATAGCGGCGGGGGATGGCCAGTAATGATTGGCAGTTAGGCGGAAAGGAATTCACAAACACCATCCGAATCGTTGGCATGTACAGCAGGTGAGTGGGGTAAGGGCCTATATAGCGACAAATTGGTGTTTGGATTTACTCGTATCTTTTTTATTGCTGCTAAGCGATTATGCAACGGCGTCTAATTTGTGTGTTGTATGTGTGTATGTATGAACATGGATCTATCGATTGATTTTTATTATATTTTGCATTTATTTCATTCATTTTTGTTGTTGTCAAAGAGACAACGATAAAAATGGCAATTTTCGTTTGCGTGCGATAGCGGGTACGCGGAACAGGCGACAGACACACAGTGGGTCTGAGAGTGGCAGAAAGTCCTAATTTTCCAAATGTGTGGAGATATCCAACGAAGCGGTTGCCTCGATTCTAAATATGTCTGCTAACAGGTTTTAAGGAATTTTTCCTGAGAAAACTGCTCTAGCAATTATCAAAGGCCACAGGAAATCGATGTTGTATGAATAGAATTTTTACGTAAAAATTTGAATACGCATTTTACGGAATCAGCAATGGTAGTTGAATGATCGATTGAAATTGGGTTTGTTCTCATCTTTAATATTAAGTTCAATAGAACGCAAGGGTGCCTCCAAATCAGGTTCTCATAATTTTTGCTAGTCCTTACAGAGTTAAAGAGATTTCTGTTATATTATGCCTTTTTAGTGTTTTTCTGGAGAGTTTAAGTAACAGGGCTGCCAACTATACTTAGCTATGAAGTGCCATATGAAGGATAAAAAAGTGCCAAATAGAAAAATAAAAGTGCCAAAAAAGGTGTCATTCTTTTTAATTTTTCCCATTTAGCACTAAAATTTGAAACACATTCCTAAAACAAAAGTCCAATGCCAAAGTGAGAGAAACCAGTTGTATACACTATAGAAATTTTAAAATTTTAGTCGATAAAAAGAAGTACTTGCAAAGGATTTTACAAAACTGAATTGAAATATTACCATTTTCCTAAAGGGGCATTTTGGCACTTTGCGCCAAACTGAAAAATTAAGTGCCACTTGAAGTAAAATAGGGCCGAAAATGGCACGGTTTAAGCCAAGGAAAGAAAAAGTATGAAAACTGATAAAAATTGGCGAACTGCCACGCCCACTACACTAGGGAGCGGGTATGGTAAATGTTATCCGATTTCATTGAAATTCGGTTTGTCACTTGGATTAACCTAGGATTTAGGGTAGAAAGAACCTAACTTCCCACTAGTGAGGCGTGGCTGGTCACCAACACACACTATTTTTATGCAAATATAGATATTGCACCAAATTTAACCATCTTTCAGATTTGTGCCTTGCTAGGTTAATCCAAGTTACAAACCCAATTTCATTGAAATCCGATAACATTTACCATACCCCCCCCCTAGTGTAGAGGGCATAACAGTCCGCTAAATTTTAAATTTTTTCATATTTATTCATTCCTAGGCAAAAGTTCTTCACGCTACTATTTTTAGCAAAATCGGGGCACATTTCTACTGTTTGCAAAAATTTTTATGAGGCTCTTCCACTGTGCGGCACTTTTATACATAAATGCATATGTGTTTACAAGCGAAATTTGCATTGGAATCAGTGTTGGCAGTTTTGGTACATTTGTACTTTTTTGATACAATTTGGTTTACAATATACTTTCCTACTAAGCAATACTTTTTAGTACAATTTTGTGATGAATACTATATATATATAGCTCTGAAAATTCACTGCGCGAATTTGTCTTTTTGTCTTCGCCTTCTCGTTCTTGCCTTTGTAAGTTTTGAAAAAAGGTTTTGAACGAACAATTATAACATAGCACAAGGTGTGCTATCGACCTCACATTCCTAGGCAAGTTTTGAAAGAATATTTTCCATACTAAACCTTATTAAAGCAAAATGTCGAGATCAGCTTCATATAGAAACAGTATCATCGTTAATTAAGGAGATGATCTTAAATATCATAACTTTACGACACTCACATATTGACTATATTGGACTGTTTATTTCATTAATTTTTAATTTTAATTATTTGTTTATAAAAATATAGTTTATTCCTTAACAAAAACTGTATGAAAATAAGTTTAAATCTTTGAACAACATTAAAAAAAAAAAATCGACGAACTTTCGTAAAAATTTCGAGCTTTATATTTAAATTATTTTTTTAATATTTTGCAGTTTTTTAGCTCATTAAATTTTAGTATAATAAAGTGCAAGTTTAAAATAGCTGCGATTTGCCGTTGATGTGTGGCATTTTTTTGAACATGTCGGTCATTTTCTTCTATATTACCTAAGTATGTTCGACGTTTTTTTAATGAAGAAAATGAGCAACACATTCATCAAAAAAAATATACATATTAAAAATCAACGATAAGTCGCAGCTATTTTTAACTTGCACTTTATTTAAATTGATCGGGCTACAAAACTGCATATTCAAAATATGTATTTCTAGGAAATCTAATTTAAAAAGTCGAAATTTTTACGAAAGTTTGTTGATTTTTTTAATGTTGCGCAAAGATTAAACCTTGGATTTATACGGGTTTTGTTAAAGTATAAACTGCATTTTTATAAACAAATTATTAAAATTAAATATTTTTAAGATAAATAATTGAAAGATAAATCTTGTCAATATTTGCGTGTCGTACAGTTTTGATAAGCACTTGAAATATTAAAAAGCAAAGTTTTAGTACTGAATTCAAAGAAGATGTCTCTTTTAACCATTCATAATAACTTTTAAAAATTTGTTTAAGAAGCGTACCTTAAAATATGTGCATACACATTTATGTTAAAAGTGTTTAATATTTAAATGTACCTACATCAACATTCCCATGCATACCATCAAATTATTGGTCTTGTAGGGAATCTATATATGCATGTACTAAGAAAATATATGAGCAAATAAAAAAGTAGTTTTTGTATAGATTTCGTACTGAAGGAACAATCTGATTTCCCAACACTGATTGGAATATCAATGGCAGCGACACAACAGAGGTATTAGAAAGTCGCGAGCGCGAGGAGTGTCACACTTACATGCACGTGATGTCACACTCATACCACTGCCAAGGCAGGTAAACACAACAACAAAAAAACGCATAACATGCGATCAGAGGGGGCGGGGGGTCGGGAGAATGTAAATAATTGAACAGCGGTCAAGAAAAGTACTTGCACTCGATAGATACTAGTCGAGTTCGAAAAGCAAATTGAATGCATGCGCTTCCCTTGCATTCTTAACACCTACATACATACATACATACATAGGTATGTACATATGTATCAGCTGTTGGCTGGATAGCATGTGACAAAAACCTTTGGATTTCACAGAGTTGATAGGGACGTACTTTTAGGTCTTGTAAAGCTTGCATAACCAAGCACACTTATGTAAAATAAATGCAAGCGTGTGATCAAATAAATAAGAGCTTTGTTAATTCTACTGCTTTCAAAAACAAAAAGCAAAAAGTATTTTCAGTGAACAGCGCAGTTCTTCTCTTCTCTATTGGCCTAATATGAGATCAAACATGCGAGCATAATTAATGGTATAATAGGTACATATAAAGGGTTACCTCAAAATTATTGAAACATAAATACGTAGGATATGGTTATTTATGGAATAGCACATTGCGCACATGACCTCTCGGGTCGTACAGTAACTGCTTGACCAAACTCATTATCAAAAGTGTGGGGTTCAATGAAAGCTCCAACTGAAAATCAGCACCGAACCATGGAACGTGGTGGAAGCATTTTTTCGACAATCGCATGTGCGATCTCTGAACCTCGAATCGAGCAATTATTAGGGATGTGCTGAATTGCCGTTACCCAATACTTCAGAAAGATTTTGGTACCCAATACTTCCTTTTCGGTACCCAATACCGATTATATACACACATTAAACTTTCGACATAAAATAAATTTCCCGTTAAGAAAAAAAAATGTATTGCTATTATACATCTGTGATATTGCCTAAATAACAATGCGGCGTATTCATAGTCAAAATAAAGTCGACACTTAAGTAGCTGCAGGTTTTTGACATAATTTTTAACAGAATATCTGTTAAAAATATCTGCTGCATCGACTTTATTTCGACTATGAATATGCTTCACAATTAGTACGAATAGGACGATGCTTTCCCAAAAGTAGAACAATTTGTACTGAACAATGTGAAAACCACGTTTCGAGAGTATTGCCTTCTTGACCTTATCGCAACAGTAAAATACCATATTTTCAGTTTCCACCTTCGTAGATTTATAATTCAAGAAAATTGCTTTGACGGATGAAGAAGTCTTTCAGGCCTACAAAGATAACATCGTCCGATTCATCTAGAAAACAAAAAATTCTCTGCATTGTGGCGTCGGAAATCAGCATTAAAAGCTCTATTAGCCCCTACACTCGGTTTTTAATAGGCTAAGCTCCCCTGAATCGCTTTTATTCCTTATTTTTGGTCTAAATGCGTTCTTACTGGAAGCCTAATCAAAGTATTGGATACTTTTTAAATCGGTACCGAGTATTAATCAATACTTAAAAGTATCGACTCAGCACATCACTAGCAACCATGACAATTAACTGTATTTTTTTACATCTTGCGTGAATTTTGGTACACCCTTTGCGTAGGTATATCTTTACATAGAATATACATACATACAGTACCTTTGACTCTCAGAACTATGTACGTGCATAAATGTCATTCATTTGGAAAAAAAAAGAAAATATGCATACATTGGAGATATTCACAGTTCGTTCCAAAATGGGTTACAAAATGTTGACGTCAACATTTACAAATTTCAATTTGAAATTCATGTTCATAAAATTGTACATA